TTCTTACTTTACTGAACAAATGGACATGAAATATTCAAAGGACTGAACTTGACATACACACTACACCTGTTCAGCCAGTGGTGCGCTACATGCGCGACCGCGTCCCGGTGCCGAACCACCGAACAACATGAATATTCTCCCGAACAACTTAAGCTAAATAAACATGATATAACATGAAAAGACTGATTACATGACTATTGCTCGAGAGACGTTAACTTAAAACATGAGCACTCTCGCGATGCACTCGCACGGCCGAACGGCTTAAAGCAGCACCACGAACATGAATAATTCAGAATTAACATGACCTTAACATGAGTATTCTAAGGTAATCTGAAGTTACCTTTGCGACCCTCGACTGATCACACCTCTGTGCGTAAGTGAAGCTCTCGGTGCGCGCGATGTGCGATGCTACCCTCTTGTCGTGCGGTACTCGCGGTAAGCTCGGCGTGCGTGCGTACTCCTTAAAATTCTCACAATCTCACAACTCTCTCTACACTCTCTATGCGGAAAATATAAAGATATATAGACTCAAGAAAATGGAAATTTTCCCAAACACTAGCCTATATATATAATGGCCGAAGAGGTGAGGAGCTTTGTGTTTAAATCTCCTTAAGCCACTTGGAGCAAGCTTATGAACTCAAAAGATGACTAATCACCCTACTTATCTTAGTCATCAATTATGCTCTTATTTGTGCCACCTCATGCTACAAGTTTTGGAGAAACATTCCCCCAACATGACCACTAACTTGCCCACGGCAAAATGGAATTATTTGGGAAAATAAGCCACGGCTTTGCTTATTAAAATGTGATTAATTGATAATTAATCACCTCATTATGTTTAATTATTTAATTAAACATAATGCTTATTTACCAAAATTATTCCGAACGTAAACAGAACGTGGAAAATAATTTCGGGTAATCTCAACTGAAAATAATTAATTTCGAAAATAATACTCGAAAATATTATTATTTCGGAACTAAAAACATGATCTATATTAATAAACTGACAGGATATTACACCGTAACTTCTGAGTAGCAATAATGAGAGCAAACGCAATTTTTTCCAGAGGGGGATAACGTAGCTCGGCGTCATGTAGAGCTTTGATGACATAATAGATTGAAAATTGTGAAGGTTCTTCTTCTCGTACAAGTACAGCACTGATCGTCGAGATGCTGACACCCAAATAAGGAAATAACATTTCTTTCGGAAGTGGTTTTTGCAAAGTAGGTGGATGGACAAGTGCCTCTTTAATACTGACAAGAGCTTTTTGGCAGTCCTCGGTCCACTCGAAACATTTACCTTTCATGATCGCCTCGAAAAAGGGTTTACATCGGTCAGTGGATTTAGAGATGAATCGATTCAAAGCAGCAAGTCGGCCAGTTAGAGCTTGGACACCTTTGACCGACGATGGAGGGGTTAATTCCTGAATGGCTTTAATTTTTGCAGGGTTTGCTTCGATACCTCGTTGACTGACCATGTATCCAAGGAATTTACCTGATCCCACCCCAAAGGTACATTTTTTCGGATTTAATACCATCGAATAATCACGGAGAATATCGAATATTTCCCGTAAGTGATGAACATGATCAATAGCCTCAACCGACTTGACGAGCATATCGTCAACATAAACCTCCATAGTATGACCGATCAAATTTGCAAACATCTTGTTGACAAGTCATTGATAAGTGGCCCCTGCGTTCTTCAGGCCAAAAGGCATCATGGTATAACAATATAATCCAAGAGCAGAATAAAAAGACGTGTGTTTCGCGTCTTGGGGATCCATGGGAATCTGATTGTATCCCGAGTAAGCATCCATAAAGCTCATCAACTCGTGTCCCAAAGTAGCGTCAACCATGTAATCAATATGAGGAAGTGGATAACTATCCTTGGGACAAGCTTTGTTTAAGTCGGAGAAGTCGATACATAACCGCCAAAGACCGTTACTTTTCTTGACAAGAACGGGGTTAGATACCCACGTCGGATATGTAGCTTCCTTGATAAACTTGTTATCAATGAGTTTTTTAGCTTCTTCTTCCAAGGCTTGCTGACGGTCTGGTCTAAATTTTCTTCGTTTCTAGACAACAGGTTTGATTGTTCGATCAAGATTTAATTTATGACAAGCAACACCAGGATCAATTCCCTTCATGTCTTCATGTTTCCAGGCAAAAACATCAGGATTTCTTTTAAGGAATGTAATAAGTTCAGACCGAACTGGTTCTTGAAGGTGACGTCCGATACGGAGTGGTTTTTTACACGTCGGTTCGTCGACATAAATAAGTTCGATTTCTTCTCCAGGTTCAGCTCGGTCGCTTCGGCTTTTTTCTTTGAACTGCATTCGAGGATCCAATTCATCTTCTTCCTGAACTGGTTCTTTTCCCGGTCTTCTTCCTCGATCGCCGTTTTGAGTAGTTTCTTCAAGAGATTCCGAGGTCGAAAGCACGTCGGTATGCTGAGCCGAGGTCAAGGGATCTTTTTTGGTAGTTGATTGGCTGGACTGAATTTTGCCGATAGGAGTAATTAACACAAGTTTTCGAGCTTCTCTTTGATCACCATAATGAGTTCCCTCCCCAAAAGTTGTCGGGAATTTTAATGCATAATGAAATATTGACACGGCTGCTTGAAGCTTGTAGAGCGTTGTTCTTCCAATGATGGCATTATATTCGTTGCGGATATCCCTGACTTTGAATGTTTCCATGATAAGCTTAGTAGCTTGTCCTGGAATGCCAAATCGTATAGGCAAAGTAATTTCTCCAATCGGTCGAGAAATGCTCCCATTGAATCCTTGAATTTCGTCATTATAGGGCTTGATATCAGCGGGATCTAGACCCAACTTGTTAAATGTTCGTAACATCAAAATGCTCGAATAGGCCCCGGTATCAACCATAACTCGATGTACTGGAATTCCGCATATTGGAACAGTAATGACTAATGCGTCGGAATGAGGGTGTGCAAACAGGTTAGCGTCCTCGGTACTGAAAGTGATGGGGCAACTCGGTGCATTGATAACATCTGGTAAATCAGAAGTGAAAACATGTTTGTTCGAATTATAAGCTTGTCGAGCATAGGCTTTAATTTGACGTCGGGAAGAAGTGGTTCGTGTACTGTTTGTATTTATTCGATGAATACAGGTACAAGGGGGACTCGGAGATCGATGTTGTTTGCGTTGCCGAGGTGTATCATTGAGACCGGGATTAGTTAAGTTAGGAGTATACATAAATATTTCTTTTTCTCCTTGTCGAATTCATTTCGGCATGGCACCTCGGTCATCTTCTTCATCGTCATCAACGGGTTCTGCCGGACGCACTAGTCCTGTTCTTCTGATGTCAGGGTTTTTCGAGAATCTTCGAAGCTGAGGGTGACCAATTAATCTAAGCAAGGCGGCCAAAAGACTTAAGCATTCATCAGTATTATGTACTGGTGATTTATGGTAATCGCAATGCCGAGACTTGTCTAACTTCTCTTCTGGAACTCTAACGGGCTTGGGCTCAGGTAAAATGCCTTTCCTTTTAAGTTCTTCATAAATTGTGGCAGCCCCTGCTGAGTACACCGTTTGATATCCTGATTTCAGATCGATGGCATACTGTCGTCTGGCAGCTCGGATTTCAGGATCATTAGCATCACCCCTCGGAAAGCCTTCAGACTGAGTCTTAGCATGTTTCCCACTGAAAGTTTTATTTTTCTTATTTCTTTCTCCATTTGATCCGAATTTATGGGGATTTGGGGCAAAATTAAAGTCAGGGACCGACATGGATTCTTCTGCTATATTGTGTTGTTGTGCCCGAGCTAAAAAAACTCTTGGAAAGTATGGGGTTTATTTTGACACAAATGTCCATCGAAATATTGAGTTCGGTTTCAGCTCGGCTATAGCTATAACAAGCAACGTTTCCGGATGACAAGGCTCCATATTTTAAACTTGATCATTAAATCGAGCAATGTAGTCCTTAACACTTTCATCATCTTTTTGAGTGATATTGGCAATAGATTCTTTCGGGACCAGACAAACCTGGGCCCCTATAAAGTGAGATCGGAAAGCCGACCTCAACTATTGCCATTTCCAAATTGAGTGAGGAGGTAAGAAGTGATACCATTTTTGAGCTCGAGGCCCCAATGAGAGAGAGAACATACGGCACCGAAGTGCATCTGACGCGCCATGGAGATCCATCCATGAAGTATAATGGCCAAGGTGGGCGTCAGGGTCTGACGTTCCATCGTACAATCCGAATTGCGGTACTTTCACTTTCCCGGGAACAGGTTCCGAAGTAAGTTCGGGAGCTAATGGTGAATCAGCTTCTAAATAAACTTGCACCGAGGTAGATGCTCGTCGTGGTGTGTCTTCTTGTGCTTTTTGGCGACTTTCCAGTTCGGCAATTTTCCTACGCAAAACTTCCAACTCGGTCGAATCTTGCCGAGCTGACCGGTTTTTTTCTATTTGTTGTCTCAAGTCCGTTTACACATGGGGGTTGGTAATTAGAGGTTGTCTGTTTGGTGACATCCTTCGACGGTGTCCGGAGTGGCTTTCTGCAGTCATTTCTTGAGGTAAGACAGGAGGAACATTAAGTGCCTCATTTTGACGTGTTTCCATCTCTTGTTGTCGTTGAGAGGCTCGACTTTGTGGGTGGGATGTAGCGTGTGAGACTTCTTGTCTATCATCTCGTCGTTGATTCTCCGGAATACAGAGATTACCAAGGGTTGGTTGGATGATAGAACGACCAGGATGGATTATAGATGTACCAGGCATGGTTTGAGCTAACAGGGTAGTTAAACTGTGAGCAAAATCGGGATTTTGAAATAAGACAGTACAATCCAGAGGGACAGAAACAACTGCAGTTTGTCCGGCGGATTGCGCTCTCCCACGGCTCCGATCAGTTACAGACAAGTGACCAGGGTGATCAGGATTAGACATATTAAATCATACTCTTCTGTTATTAGACTAGCAGAGAAGGGTCGCAGGCTTTCGAACCAAAATATGGGAGGTAACCTCAAATCACATGAGGCCCTCCTTCTAGCGCCAATCTGTTGTTATGTGGATTAAAAAAAAGAGTTTACACTGATTCTGGATCAATTGATGTGAGTATTAAACAGAAATTTGCGTAATCAAACTAAGACAATGGCCCCGGTCTGAGGTGAACTGAGGTGAAAAGCTGTGATGAGTTGTTACGTGTTTATGATCAAATATTCAGGTTTCGATCCCTGTACAAGTATACAGACTAGCTATTTATAGTAACTTTTTGGATACAACATTGGGATTTGTACAATGCTTTTTATGTAAAGCTACTTTTGGAGGGCGGCATTGTCAGCGGGTCCCATAGGATATCAGATTAAATGCCTTGATATGCGGATGCATAATGAGGGTGTCTTATCAATCTTGGTTTTGATGACCTCGGTTGGGGTTCATCTCGGTATGTCGACGTTGATCGGGACCGATGTGAGACATTCGCTCGGGGTTAGACCGAGATGGAATCCTTTGGCTTGGTTTTAATCAGGGTTCGTCAGGTCGGGTAATAACAAGTTGTTTGTTGCCTCTCATGACTTTTTCATTTTTTATTAACTCACAGTCTACCTCTTCTTCTTTTTTTCTTTTTTTTGTTGATCTTCAAAGGATTCCATTCTTCTTGCTCCACCAGGCCTTCCCACACCTCTCCCATTATTGGGTGGTGCAAGTGCTTGTATACCAGTTTCTAACCACTCTAATCTACCATTAAGAGGCAATATAACTGGTTCATAAACTTTTCTATAGGTCTCCAATCTATAACAGCTATGAGTGAAGTCCTTATAATCTTTCCCCTCAGCATAGATAGCACATAGGGCATGACAACTAAGAATTTCAAGAAAATCCCATTTTCTACATGCACAACTACAGTTCTTCAAATCGACACTATACTTATGACCATCAGCACATGAAATGCTATAATAAAACTCATCTGATTTGATAGGGAAACAACCTCCAACCTCATTTTGGTTCTTTTCAATTATTTTTTGAATTTTAGGACAAAATCACCTTTACATTTTTGGGTGGCCCTATCTCTGTTCTTTTGCATTCTAGACATCAAATACTCCACCAACCACTCAAACATGGACAATATTGGTTTTCCCTTGCCTCCGGAATATTTGAATTAAATGACTCACAACCATTATTTAAAAGCATGTCACACTTATTGAAATCTGAAAAATGTGACCTGCTCCATTGATGTGGTGGATTGTCATTGAACCATAAAAATGCTTCACCACTCATTTTCTGAAAAGCTTCCATTTTTCTTGTAAATTCAGGCACAGTAGTTGCTTTTGCAGCATTCCACAAGGCTACTTTGTATGCTTGTCCTCTCCAACCAGCCCTACTGAAATTTGAGTGCAAGTGCCTAACACAGAATCTGTACTCGGCATTTGGAAAAAACTTCATCAAATGCTTGGATTAAGCCTTTTTGCTTATCAGACATGAAGGTGTACTCATAGTCTGTTTGAAGCTTCAAATCTCTCTTTAGAAAAAGCAAGAACCATTCTCATGTGTCCTTATTCTCTTTGGAAACTACTGCTACTACTATTGGGAATATATTGTTGTTCGAATCGACACCAACAATTGTTAAGAGCATGTATCCATGGGGACCTTTCAAATGACATCCATCCACACCAATAAAAGGCCTGCAACCTACCATGAAACCATCCTTCAATGCCTTAAGACACAAGTAGGCTCTGTCAAATCTCTTCTTTCCATATTCAACCTCAGTCCCTATGATAATAGTACTCCCTAGATTGCTCCTTGTTATCTCTTCAGCAAAGTTCCATAGAAGGTTGAATTGTTCATCTGCACTCCCTTGAAGGGCTTCAACTGCTAGCTTTTTGGCCCTATATTCTTGAAAGTTATTGACTTGAACTCTGATCTCATCCATTGCATCTGCCCTAAAACCTTTAACCTTTCTAGTAGGATCTGAGTTGAACTTTTGAGCATACTTAGCAGACAACCAACTTGAAGTTAGGTTTTTTTACCTTGTAAGAGGGAACACGTGTATGTTCACTGAGATATGCCTTAATCTGAAAGGTTTCTTCACCATTCAACTTTAGAGCATGCAATTTCCACTTGCACCCTTCACCTTCACACTTTGCATGCATTCTTATCTTATCATTCTTTGTTATCTTGATGTTTCTCTTTGTGTTGATGGCATAAGAGTGAATGGCCTTTCTGAGCTCTGACTTGGTAGAGAAAATCATTCCAATGCTGAAATTTGGATTAAAAATATGAATAGGATTAAAACTACCGATCTTATTTCTTTCAGCTTCACTGTCTTAACTTTTGAGACTAATAAGATCATCATCGCTTGGCATTAAATTCTCCTCCTCAGATTGGTTAGTCTCTTCAACAACGATTTGTTTATTGCATGGAAACCGCTCCACCTCAGAATTTACAAAATTTTCGAACAATCCATCATCATCACCAACCTCTTCTTCTAACTCATAATCATCATCCTCAAAATCGGAATACGATCCTTGACTAGCTGAAGATGACGAGGATAGCATTTTTGTCTTAATTTTTTCGAATTTGTGGAATAATGGTAACTGGTAAGAGCTCAGATCATGAAGATGATATTTGGACTTTTCATAAAGGAGGGAAAAGAAAGCAATTTTCCCTCCATCAAGTAATTAGGGCTAAATGATGAAATTAGGGCATTTTGTTCTTTATGTTAGTCCCTCAGCTCCACGTCTCGCCTGTTTTAATTGGCTTCGGGTCCACGCAGGGAGCCACGTCCGATTGAAGGTCATAAACTGGTCTGCTAGGCCAAAAAGGACAAAAGTACTTAATTTTTTTAAGTTGTCGGACTAAACTTAAAAAGTCTAATTGAAGCGGACTAAAATGAAAAAGGTATAAACATACAGGACCATTTCTCTAATTTTTCCATTGATTGTGCATTAAGTACTTCATCCAAAAGAAGATATCCTTGTTAGTTGAAAGTTAATTGTCCATTGAATCCTCTGAAATGAATGATTTCTAAATTCAAGCAAGTGCATCCATTTTCATTTGGATCTCAAATCATTTTTTTTTTCTTTAGTTGGAATGTATTCGTATTGAGTATTTTTATTACGAATCAAATATAAATTCAATTCGGATTGACCCTATTATCGCATACTTAGAAATCGGGACCTTGCCGAAAGACCCCAAAGAAGCTCGGTCCACACGCATAAGGGCAGCTCGATTTACATTAGACAATGGGACCTTGTACAAGAGAGGATATTTAATGCCCTTGTTGAAATGCTAAAATAGAGCAAGAGTCAAAGTACGTGCTTGAAGAAGTCCACGAAGGAATATGTGGAGGTCACATCGGAGGACAAGCCTTGACCTACAAGATCCTACGCCAAGGATACTACTGGCCGACATTGAAAACCGACGCGAAAAACTGGGTGGAAAGTGTCCTAAGTGTCAAATCTTCGCGCCTAACATGAACCAACCACTCGAGATTCTCAAGTCAATTTACAGCCCAGTCGTTTGCCAACTGGGGAATCAACCTAATGTAGAGCCCCAGTCGAATATTATAAGACATCTCCATTATTTATTTTAATTATGCAGTTAGTTGCATTTAATTTTCTATGCTCGACCAGTTCTTCAGAATAATTAAATGTTATTGTCTATTTAAATTATTCGAATTATCGAATATTCCTTAGCTATTCGATTTTATTCGATTTAATTATTTAGAGAGAAATCGAATTTATTAGAGTCTATGGTTTATCAGTTGCAGTTCATTTTGAGTTTGTTTCGGCTTTGTCAAGTTCATTTATTCTCAATTTTTAGAACTTATCGAGACCGATTATGCAATACAGAGCGTTTTAATTAGACGATCGGAATCAAACGAAAAATTTATTGATATTTTTGTTATTTCTCTCTTCCATGGGAGCTTCGATTCCTCTATGTAGAGCTACTAATTGCTGTGCAATACAGAGTTTCTATTTCCTTGAATAAGGCTTTCCTTTTCATTTAAGCGTTTTAGATTTTTCTGTATCTTCTTTTCATAACCTTCTACCTGCTTTTGTTTTGTTTGTGGGTTTGTGCAGACTAGGGTTCCTGACTCTTCCATTCTACTAATTGCTTATCTCCCTACATTGACGAAGGAGAAGATATTGTTCACCAACTGTGCGGAGGAATGCAGAAAGAGTCTCTTTGGCAAAATTATTGGGCACAAAAAAAATTCACTTAGCAGCCATCCGCAGAACCATCAACCAAATATGGCAGATTAAGGGTTCGGTCACGACTCGAGAGCTCAACCCTAATTTTCTCCAATTTGTGTTCTCAGAACTAGAGGATAAGCAAAAGGTGATAAAAGAGATTGGATGGAGTGCCGAAAATCAAGCACTTATCCTACGTGATTGGGAAGAGGACATCAATGAGGACCATCAA